TCGTTAAATAAAACATCGTCTAAGAGCTTGGGCTTCACCAAGTAACCCAGAGCATTACAAAAACGTACCAGGCAAAACTCCCTGGGTGTCACGTCACTAATGCAGGAGCCCAAAAGATTCCCTCGCGTTATTCAGACCGGCAGAGGCACGGCGAGGTTCCCTTATGCACCAGCATCCGCTCGTGATGGCGTCTGTTTACGTAGCAGTGCAATCATCAGGTTATCTTCTCTCTGGATTCATGAGTGTGATTTTATTTCAACAGGATGTTCACATTCCGGAATGCGTCTGGTTTTAAAAAGCGCCAAAACCTCCACGGCACGCATTTAACTGCACGGTGGATTTGCGGTTTAAGTGAAGCTCGACATCAAGAGCAGTTATCAAAATCTCAGAAGGGAGAGCGGTCGTTAGAGCATCACGTCACAGGAGATCCAAGTGGCTCCTCGCGATCCGTTAGGGAACGGTATGTCTTCCAGTGAAATCACAGCTGTCGTGAGTTTAACCGTGTCCCTCAAAGAGGATATGTTCAAGCCCTCACCCCCAGGACCGGTGAACGTGATCTTATTTGGAAATGGAGTCTCTGCATATGTGATCAATTACACATGCGATCATCAGAAGAGGCTCTAAATCCAGTATGATGGGTGTCCTTGCAAGAAGAGACGAGACACAGATGAGAATGACGTGTGACTGCAGTGGTACGTCTACAAGCTAAGGAATGCCAAGGATTGCCAGAAACCACAAGTACCTGGAAGGTGCAGGAAGGATCCTCCCCTAGAACTTTCGGAGGGAGAACAGCTTTGCCCAGACCTTGATTTCTGACCTCTGGCCCCAGAGCTGGGAGACACAATGTGTGAACCTCGTTAAGCCTCTTCCTGTAGGGCTCACCCTCCCAGGAAGGGCCCACGCTCTAGAAGCTCTCACACAGAGACCACTGCTATGCTGTCACTGCATGTGCGTGTGCAGAAGAGGGAACCAAATATCCCGTACACACAGCCACTGGTTTATTAAAAAAAAATAATAAAACTTATCCCACTGACTTGACCTAACAGAACAGAGAAAGCAAATACCTTAGATAAGCCTCTACGAACATTCCCTGCAAAGCTGTTCAAGTATCTTTTTAGAACCATTCAGGAAAACAAGAACGGAAACAGGAACAGCACTGGTCTCCTGGCCTCTCTGTCACTGCATGGACAGGGCACAGACGCAGCGCATCAACAGGACTTCGATCTCAGATGCCAGCGTCCCACTAGGCAGCCAG